TCTTGATTAATATACTTTAAATATTTGGATTTAGATATCATCTGTTAAAGTTCTCAGTCTGACATTGTTGATTACAGATATCTACTAGTGGTACGAAACATTTATTAGCTTTTTTTGATGTTTTTTACCTTTCTAATGACACTTGCATTTTTTTCATATAAGGGACTTGCATTTGCATTACTTTTAGAGGTTTTAAATTATTTAATACTGTAAATAATCTTAAACCCAATTTGAAACTATGGCACAAATTTTTATATTCTGTCTTTCCCCTATCCTTAAAGTGTGAAGAGAGATAATACAACTTCTTTATTATTCCTAAAGCGATCATGTTATCTTCATTGTGAGCGAACACTTCCTTGTTTCTACATTTTTAGCAAAGTATACATCCTTTGTTAAGTACTTCTACTGTTCTCAGAATACATGTCTTAAAATACAGAAAGAAATATTATTTTAATTTAATCCCAAACTATTCTCTCTTTGGAATGAAGGAGCCAGAGACCAGCTGGGTGTTTGAACTTGCCTTCTGTATGATTTCTCATATACTAGTTTTTGAGAATTTATATTTTGTATTACAAGTGTCCCATTTTAGAAAAGTAATAGGTAGAAATTATTTATTACCAGAACCTTAAAATTTACCATTAGTTTCATCACAGAGTAATTTGTACAAAAGTGCATTATATTTATTTTTTCCTATGGAGACATTTAGCAGTTATAAAAGGTAGATGACATAGATATAAATATATATAGCTTTGACAATTGCCTGTTACCATTATCTGAAAACGTAGAGGAATGAATGGAAGGACATTTTTGTCTGAAGATGAGCTTCATAAAGTTAGATTTATGAAGTTTTGTTCTCTATATAACCACTTGTGCTCAGCATTAATTTCTTCTGTGCAAAAAAAAAAAAAGACTTTAAAATTAAAGAAAGGACTTGGAATTATCTAGTCTGCGGTAACACAAGTTCAGAGATCTTGTGATTTTTACAGTTGCCTTGCGTTCCATTTTTCATTTCACCCTACAATCCTCAGACCAATGTCAGAGCTACTGTTAGAGCCCTTAGAAACCAAGAACAAATGTTAATTAAATATCTACTATGTTACTGCTTAAGTCATTGGGGGAGAATATAAAGATGAGTAATATACTGCATTAGTTTTCTACCGAGAAAATAAGGTTTTGTGGTTTGGGTCCCAGGACTCGGAGTTATCTAGAATTTTATTCACAGATTATCTTTAGACTAGGTGTGAGTTCCTTGGGGGTAGGAAGTATATCTTATTTAGTTTTGCTTCTCAGCGCCTATCATGGAGCAGATGCTGAATAAATGTTGAATGGAATTGATGTCCTCTTTCCTGGGCACACAGGTCCCTATTAGCTCCCTTATATGCATTCTTCTTTTAACCAGTTATGGCTAAATCTCTCTCTTCACTTCTTCTTTTAGATCTCAGTTTCTCTAGGACATCTCTTTTTATTTTCCTCTTAAATATTCTTTTTTCAGTTGCTAGCCAATTTTCTTTTTTCTCCCTCTGTCTCTACCAGGCAAGAAATGCCTGGTATTTTAAAACTGTTTTGTAAAAAATTCATGTTTATGAAATGGTTATTTTTCATTTTAGTTGCTTTGACCTCCAGCTAACATGACTTTGTATTTTTGGAATATGATAGAGGATGCGTTATTTGCTATACAGGTTTAAATTTAGAGCTGACATAATTTTGTCCTAATGGTTCTACCCTACTCTCAATATATTTGATACTGTCTTGTTTTATTTTAGGGAATTATCTTAACTTTTTCTTAAATACTATCTAATTTTGAAATGATCTTATGATTATATGTCTGAAAGTATAGGGACCTCAAATTGAATGCTTCTTACAAAAATTAAATGCTTAATATCTTATGAAGTCATCTCTTTTTTGCATCAGCCGTCTCAGAGCACTGAACTTCTGAGCATGTCTACCCTAGGCAGAGTGCTGACTGGATACCTACTTTCTAAACAGAATTCTTATATTAACTTTTTTTATTATGAAACACAGTAATCTAAGTCACTATAATTTTAAAAGAATAAAATATATTGTTATTCTTATCAAAATGTTTAATGAAAGTTAATTTTATATGTATATATTTTTTAGCAGCTGATGTACCATCAGAAAAAGACCTTAACAAAGTCCTTCAGCTTTTGGAGCCTCAAATTTCCTTTTTAGAAGATCTAACTAAAATGGGAGGAGCAATGCGGTCTGTCCTTACTCAAATTTTGACAAACCAACAAAACTACAAAGATCTGACTTCCGGTGAGTAAAATGTTAGAATAGAAGAACGTTAACATTTACTCATTACTATAATTATTAGAAACTGTGTATTTTAGAACTTAAAAGCAAAGTGTAGATTTTTTTCATAGATTGCTAAAGGTGGAAGTAATTACTTCCTCTTATTTTATAGACAAAGAAAGTGAGCCCCAGAAAAATTAAATGACTGGTTCAGGACCATGCAACTAATTTATTTTGAAGTTGAGACTAGAATCCAGGTCTTCTAACTTTTGGTGTAACATATTCATAATTATACTCTACTTCCCCTTCTCCAAACAATAACAACTACTACTTCTATGTCTTCATTTTTGGTATTTTACACTTTTTCGTTATATGGCTGAGGATTTTAAAATAATGTAGAATTTAAGTTGTAGAATTTGAGTTATAAAACTTGGAATCATTGAGTATGCTTTCATATGGTATACCGTACTGTTATATAAAATATTTGTTTTTATTTATTTATTTTTTTTAAAGATTTTTATTGGGGAATTG